GGGGGGGGGGGGGAAATCAGGAACTAGGATCACCTCGAGTCAGGAACCAGGAACCATATAAATCAGGATGTAACCAAAAACTAGGATTTAGGAACTATAGAACCACCAGGAACCAGGAATTCTTGAACCAGGAACCTGGAACCAGTTACTAGGACCCTGTAACCAGGAAACAGGAACTAGAAACCAGGAACCAGGAACACTCCTTTCATACTTCAATATATACACTATACGCTAGTATACTTTACACTCTACAGTCTACATTCTATCCTCTACATTTTACATCTACACTTTTACTAGAAACTCTACACTCTACAATCAACACTTAACACTCTACAGTCTACATCGTACACTTTATACTCTACACTCTACACTCTACAGTCTACACTGAACCCTCTGCACTCTACAGTCTACATTGTACACTTTACACTCTTCACTCTACAGTCTACAGTCTACAGTCTACACTGTACACTGTACACTCTACACTCTACACTGTACACTCTACACTCTACACTCTACACTCTACACTCTAGAGTCTACAGTCTACACTGTACACTTTACACTCTACAGTCTACATTGTACACTCTACACTCTACACTCTACACTCTACACTCTACACATCACACTCTACACTTTACACTCTACACTCTACACTTCACACTCTACACTTTACACTCTACACTTTACACTCTACATTCTACACTCTACACTCTATACTCTACACTCTACACTCTACACTTTACACTCTACACTCTACACTCTATGCTCTACACTCTACAGTCTATACTCTACACTCTACACTCTACACTCTACACTCTACACTCTACACTTTACACTCTACACTTTACACTATACACTCTACACTCTAAACTCTACACTCTACACTCTGCACTACTGCTAGGAACTTTGAACCAGGAAAGCTATAGAACCAGGACCCTGGAGCCAGGAAACAGGAACTAGAAACCAGGAACCGGGAACACTCTTTTCATTCTACAATATATACACTTTACACTCTACACTCTTTACTTTACACTCTACAGTCTACATTCTAAACTCTACGTTTTACATTTAAACTTTTACTAGAAACTCTACACTCTACACTTTATAACAGTCTATAACACTGTACACTCTACACTCTACATTCTAAATTCTACATTTTACGTTTACACTTTTACTAGAAACTCTACACTCTACACTCTATAACAGTCTACACTGTACACTCTACACTCTACAGTCTACATTCTAAACTCTACATTTTACATCTACACTTTACTTATTTTTTTTAACTATTTATATAATTACTATGATATTATAATTATCACATATTTTTTAGATAAAAACCACTAGTTCCAAGTACTGACCCTAGAGCAACCAGTAATCCCGACCCTAGAATAAATGCAAAGTGTGAGTTATAAAGTATTTTAAGAATTGTAAAAAACGTTGCAAAAGAAAAGTTTTTTTTTATTTTACTGTAAAATATCTGGAAAGCTAAATAACAAGTTTTTAACAGTAACAATTGTAATCAAGAATGAAGATCATGCCTTGCAACATCTGTTTACTAAATGTTGTTTGTTTACATTGAAACTGGTTCCATATGTTGTCTTAACACGTCATGGTAAGCATACCCTATACCCTTCTCCTTGATAGGACTAAAGAGAGTAAAGACGTATTTACAAACTCTCTTTGATTTATATAGCCTTGAATGTCCTATTGTGAACGGTACCGTTGCACCGTTGTACCTTTATACCGTTGTACCGTTGTAGCGTTGTAGTGTTGTAGCGTTGTATCGTTGTACCGTTGTACCGTTGTACCTTTGTCGGGTCCATGTATAAATAAGATATTCTATTCTTTCTTTAAAATCATTTTCTATTGTAAATGTATCTTTAAAAGTGACTGGCGGATTTAGGCCTGGCTATAAGACGACGAAGGAAACTGTCAGGATTCAAAACAATATAGTCTAGTAGTTATACAACTGCGTTAACCAGATAAAGGTTTAAGGGTACCGTTGTGAATCGGAAAGGCTATTCTTGTGCTAAACCTGACATTTTACAAGTTTAACAACTGGAATAGATTTAATACTTTATGTTTTTGTTTTAATTTATAACTGTGTACCTAAGATCATGAAGCTTCTTGACAGCTCACGGTTTATTTTCTTGAATATCGGCCAGTTTACCAAATCTTCCACCACTGTAATGCATTGTCCCTTAAATAATATTGATATATATTTAACGTATTTTATTTATAAAAATTTCAAAAACTTAGGTTATTTTATCATTGCTATCCTTTAAAGCATGTCTGAAACAAACTTTTTTTTTCATCATTCAAATAAAAATGGCCAAAATATTTTTAGACTTCTAAACATTGAATTTTTTAAAAAGATTCTTTTGAACTTCTTAATCAGAAATCTTCAAAAATGCACTTTGATGTGAGATATAAAGCAAGTCAACTTTCTGAAACCAAATAACTGCAAATTTTGGTGTCTAAAAGAGTCAATTTGAAAAATCACGATTAGTTCATAATTGTTTTTATTTTTTATGTTTTTGGGGTGACACCCTAATTTTATACCTTTTTTGTTCCCGCATTTTTCTTCGGAAACGGTATTTCTGGAACCGGTTTTTCAAGGAATGAACACAAAGGATCCCAACCTTCCTTCACATTGAACACCAACAGCTGAGAGGACGGAACCAGCTTATCAAAAATAATACAATTTTTTTCAAAATAATAAGCATCATTTCTGGTTTTGAAATCAAAGATAGCCTAAATGCATTTGTCTACGTTTATATCAATACAATGAAGACTACTTTTATAATGAAGTTTTGATTCTAAACAAGATAATTTAAATTAAAATTTTACATAAAGACAAATAGAGGCTATTAATTGATAACTTCTCTTTGTTTCCATGTTTATGCGAATCAATGCTTTTTGAAAGCTTGGTAGAAATCAAAATTAAAATCAAAACTTCATTGTATTGATTTATACGATGACGAGAGTTACCTGTATGTAGGGTTGTTAATAGTTTTTGTAAACGATCGTTTTTTGTTTCGTTTTTTAATCGTTTTGAGCTTTTGGAAAACGAATAACGATCGTTTTTGAAAACGATCGTTTTTATTAAAACGATTTGCGACCGTTTATTATGCGATTAATTTTTAAAAAACGATCGTTTTTGAAAAAAAATTATTGACAATTATGTAAACGATCGTTATAACGAAGGGTCGTCGTTAACGATCGTTATATAAGGAAGGGTTGTCATTAACGATCGTTAACGAAGAGTTGTCGTTAACGATCGTTAGCAAAACGACGAATTTTATAAAAACGGTCGTTTGTGGAAAAAAATTACATGCAACTCTATTGAATGTCGTCTTACATGAAGTTTAACAGTTGTGGGGGAGTTAAAACTTCTTGGTATTTTCTTAAAAACTACTCAATGATAAGTACAGATGCCCTTCAAGTCGGTTTCCTCTCTTCGTTAAAGATCGTTAACGAAGGGTTGTCGTTAACGATCGCTAACGGAGGGTAGTCGTTAACGATCGTTAACGATCGTTAACGAAACGACGAATTTATAAAGACGATCGTTTTAAAAACGACCATACTTAAAAAACGAACTTTTTTAAAAAAACGAACGTTTCGTTTTCGATTTTTCCTTCGTCGCTTTCATAACGAAACGATCGTTTAAAAAATGAAAACGTTAACATCCATACATATGTTATGAATGTTGTACACTTAAAAAAAGTCAGTTGTGCTTCTTGTGAAAAAATTTGTACTATTTATCAAGCTTTGTGATAACAACTTGTAAGGAATTAAGTCTTTGTCACAAACTCAAATTTTATAATCCTAATATCTAAGTAATTTGATGGTGCAAACCGTTAATATTTCAAACTTAAAATGTTTGATCTACCAGAATTCATTGTTTGAAATATCTAAGGTCTACAACACTGGGGTTGCAAAGATATAGGAATTAGAAAATCTGAGTTTGTGGCAAAAACTCAATTCCTTTCTAACAGTACTCATTTTAACCCACTTCAATTCAAACTTTGAAAAATTTTAAAATTTTTAAGAAAAAAATTTTCTCCTCTATTACCCCTATAGGGTATCCATTGACTTCCCCAAAAAAATCGGCAAGCTATAGCTGACGTATATATATATCAGCGAAGAGTTTTATTATATAGATAATTTCTATTAAAACCGCTCCGTTAAAACCTTAATTTGATCAATATTGTGGAAGATATTGTCGATTTTCTAGTTTGAAAAGTGTTTGATTCTGATAATTCATATATTATTTTCCTGCAGTCACTTTTGTAAAGAACCCTCAATTGACAATAATCCGTTTTCAATATTATAATCATGGATTATAAACTTTTTAAATGTACCTTTGTGAATCGGAAAATGCACTCAGTTAATGGAGGGTCACTTAAAACTACATTTACAGACTTTTATAACACATTTGTCGTCAGTAATTTAACGTATAAAGCATTATTCAATCTTGAATCAGAGATTGTATAACTTTTGTTATTCCCATGATCTAGACTGCTATGAAAATTTTTTTTAAAGACTGGGTCTACTTTATAGTGTCGCAACGCCTTGGCCTTCGATTTACCTTACTAACTCACTTAAAAATTTTTGTAGCCCTACACATGTACGGTTAAGAACCATAAATCATTTCTTTCTAGCTTTAGTTTAAAAAGAGTACGAAATAGATTTTCGCGTGGAGCTTGCAAGCTTTGGATCACTGTGATCTCTGTCACCATAGTTTCATTAGAAGTAAATATTTCCATTTACTGATAGCGCTGATTGAAGAATTCATAACTCTGATTGTATAATGAGATAGATAGAAAGATATGGCTGAACCCTGATTGGATCAGGTGCTGATGGACTCGGCATACAGAAGTGCTGTGTACCTCTTTCACTAGAGCGCTATGTGCTAGGTATTTAGATACAGCTATATCACGGTTCATGGGAGCATATGGTTCAGTTCCTATCAACTTCATCCTGGATAACAGTTAAAGCTTCAAGCTGCAGATATTACTGCTGTAAATATCATTGCTAGAAACACATGGCCACTGTACGAGCCCATAAAACTCTGGAATAAGAAGACAGCTGTTTAAATTCAAGTTTTTCAATAATGTTTGCGCAATGGATTTCTAGCAATTATATCTCAGCATTTAAAAATCCATCTTTGCTAATATTAATTTTGATTTAATTTTCTACCAGATATGCTTGGCGAAGTCCACCTGAAACCTGGCATAGGTTCTGCTCAGTCTACAAAATTATTTGTGTCAAAATGCAAGGGATTAAAATGCGTAGATCTACAATATTAAGAGTTTCTTTGTGAAAAATGAGATTGTCTCATCATTTGTGTTTTGGCTACATCTTATTTGAATTTCTTTCCGTTTTTTAGATATTTCATGTTTAAAAAGTTGAAATGTAAAAAACAAAAACAAAATGTTTAGAAAATAATTATTACAGAACAAGAAGAGGATGAAGAACGCTTGAATTGTCTCGCATATTGTTATAAAGGTTTAAAAAAGAATCCAACCATTCCTCTCCATTTGTTCTTTCAAGCAGTATCACCTGCAAGCATACAGCATGATGTTAGGTGCTTTTTTCAAAGACTTTTTCCCAAGTGGTAGTTTTCCAAGGGTATTTTCCCAAGTGTGAAGTGGAAACTTCCCAAATGTGCAGTTTCCCAAGCGTCTGTCCTAACCACCACGCTCGGTTCCATATATATGTTCTAGCCGCAGCGCTCAGCCCCATTGCAGCTTGCGGCTTCTCAGAGGGCCTAACTTAACCTTTGGGAAGTTGACGCTTGGGAAATTGAACATTTCGGATGTTGCCACTCGGAAAATTGTCACTTGGATTTTGGGAAGTCACCCTTAGGAAAATGCCTTTGGTAAAATACCTAAAGCATGACAGAAAAAATTAACTGCAGCATCTTTCACTTTTTAGGCATTGTGAGATCAAATTATATTTTTGAACAAAAAAGTCTCAAACTTAGAAAGTTTTGAAATTTCCAATTTGACCGTCTCAGTATAGCACTTAAAGGGGCGGGCCCTTTAGTTTTTTATAATTGCTTTTCACATGGATTCAGATGTACAACTTTGTATAATTTTTTTTTTGATTCTACTAATGTGCAGGTTCTTTCTAATAAGATTTGGTCGATTGTTATCTCACTGACTAATAACTATTGATACTCACTCACGTTTTTATGTGTACATTTTATAATTATAAAGTATCTACTTGTTTTTAGCTTTAGTTGTTCAGACGTAATTGGCAAAATTTCAATTTGTTTTGGTGTGAGAGCTTGCAACCTTGAAATCCCTGTGCTCAAAAATAATGAACCCAAAATTTATTAATAAATTAACCTTTGCATTAGGAAATTTTTTAAAAATTTGGAACCAGATCAGGACGCCAGGAACATCTGTTGTCGCGTCCACATCTCTTGAAAACAAACAATAATAAATACGTTTTACAAGATTTAATCAGAGATGGGAATTTTTTAATGAATGGAATAAGCTGGGTTCGCTTGATTAAGCGGCAGCATGAAAGTATTGAACATTTCCAGTTTTCTTCTTGTAATTATGGGATAAAGTAAATGTTTAAAAGTACGATTTTGTGAACTCTTACTTTCTCTAGTTTTAATATTGATCCCGTCAGGGAGAAAATTTATATTTTTTGGTGGATTTTTAAATAAGAAAATTAGTAATTCTGTTTAAAGATTGAATTAAATTGAATTTTACTTCAGTTTCATGTATTTTTAATATATTTATGAAACATATATCCAAATATTTCATTTTACAAACTTGAGTTTTAGAACCAAAGCAAAAATGTATAATATACTCTAAAAAAAGCAAAAATGTATAATATACTCTGAAAAAAGCAAAAAGGTATAAAATACTCTGAAAAAAGCAAAATATATTATTAATAATTAAGACTGTGATTGTGAAAGTTTTTGTTGAATTTAAAATTGTTTTATATAAAAACTTTTTTAATTGCTTCTTATAATATAAAATATATAAAATATTAAAATAAAATATTTTTTATAAAATATTCAAAGCTTATCTATTTAAAACTTTCGTAGACATAAAATTAGAAAAATGATAAACTTACTGATAAATGTCCTCCAAAAACGTTGAATCTGTTTTCCCATCCATGTAATCAAGGAATTCATCAAAATACTGAAATTTGAAATTTGAAATTTTTTTAAAGAAATTTATCTAATTTAGTACGATATTTTTCACTGACAGAAAAAGCATTTTGAAAATAAAATCCTAGTTCTTGAAATATGTTCGCTTAAACATCTCACCAATTCTCAAATTTCTCGTAGCTTACTAATGCTTCAAGTGATTTTGATCAACAAAAAGTCAGAATTTTATCTAACATCTTATGATTTTAAAGGGGCTGTATGCTTCATTTTATTTTCAAGTGACCCTCCCAGCAAAGATGGCAATGCTCGATTTACCAGGTTACCCTTAAATACTTTGTCTGATCAAGTATGAATTAGATATCCACGTTTTTGTTTCTTTAAACTGTTTATCTTCATTTGCGGGTTCTCTGCTAAAGTGTTTTGTGCATTTCTTGCTTATAAGAAGCAATGGAGAAATGATCAGAATTAAACACTTTTTGATTCTGAAAAACGACGTTATCTTCCACAATTTTAATCAGCTTTATGTTTCAAGGGTACCGTTGTGAATCGGGAATTGCCATCTTTGCATGGAGGTCACTTGTAATTACGCTTACAGTCAACATTATTCTTGCCCCAAAATTATACTTGAATCATATCATCAACTTGCATCATCAACTTCATAAAATAAATCTCTTTTCCCGGAGACCAAACCCTTACATCTAACTGCTCTTTAGCATCAAACACATTAAAATCAAGATATCTGAGAGCAGCTGCTACTGTTTTGGTTCCAGTTCTAGGAAGTCCAGCACAGATGATCTTCATCTTTTCTTATAATATTCAATCATATCAAAGTTTTATTTCGGGAAAACAAATTATTTTAAAGATTATGAGACCGACTTTCGCTGAAGTGCCCGGCTTTGCTCGTGGAATTATAGGAACTCTTGAAATTTTTTTATGAAACTATTGTGTACTTTATCATTCTTACTCACTTCATCGTGAATTCCATAATTAACGTGCTATAAAGTAATCATCGTGTTAAATTAGATGTACACATTTAATTGGTTCCCGGATTTTCTCCAAAAAATTTAGGATATTTCCAAAATAATTTTTTTTAATTGAAATGAAAATAATATTGAAATCAACTTTATTATTTACTTCTGCTTTGTTTCAAAGCTTATTTGATCTATAGAAATAGCCATTGAAATAAGACAAGTACACAAACGTTTCAACAATTACCTATAACACTTTTATTTTGGCATGACGTGCTATAAAGTTTTTGGACTTAAATTGTCTCTACATCTCGAAGGTTCTCGTCTTTTTAGATAATATTTTGTCCCTTGCTAAAGCTCGGGACAAAATTAAATCTAAAAAGGCTTGAACCTTCTCGATAAAGAGACAATTTCTGTCCAAAAACTTTATAATACTGCGAACCAAAATAACAGTGTTATAAATAGTTATTTTGAATTTGGAAATAGCTATAGCTAACATACATATAGAATAGGACGAAACTTTGACACTGTGACTATGGATAATATATATACATATATGTATTTTTCATATAGCTATATATATATAAGGGAAGAGCTTTATTATATTGATTAAAAAACGAATTTAACAAAAGAAATCAAAATTAAATTAAAAAGTGTCATATCGTCTTCCTGAAACGAATAGCGGCATCTATTCTTGAAGAAGAAAGACGATCTTATATTTGTAAAATATCATGTTTAGTGATATACCCTGTACTTAATGATAGGGATAGTCAACATTACTGAACATCTAGTAAGAAAATACCTTTTATATAAATATTAGAAAATGCTGACAAAACAGATTAATTTAATTATGTAAGAAAATGTTCTGTAGGAATTAAGATAAGGAAAATACTGAAATGCACAATTGCAAAACTGCATTTGCAATTGAATACTTCCAAATATGCATCATAGTTGTACGTTTCTGTTTATCAATTTGTATGTACTTTCGAAGTGCATGGATCAAAAATAGATTTAATTATTTATCTTTAATGAATCCCAAATGTAAGCAAAACTTGGTGGAAAGTGTTTATGGAACTCAACCACTTTCTAGTTTAGGGTTTCATGAGTCCAGTTTTTAAATTTTATGTCAAAATTAAAACTGAGAATTTATTTAAGGAGATATTTTTCCAGATAAAAAAACAAATATCTTCCCAATTTTGGCTCATACGAAGGAATGCTAAGGATACCATATTTCATGCCACTCCAGAAATGGAGGCTTACATCACACTTTATTTAACGTCTACAGTTCTTTTAAATAAAGATTTTTTATTCAATATGTTTCATTTTTTTGTGAAAATTATAATTTTTTTTCTCATTCAAACATCATAAAACTTATCAAATAGATCTTTCGGGTTAACAGAAATTCTTTTTTTTGCTTACATTTTGTTGCTCTAAACTCCCCTCGCAGTCTAAACTTTAAAAATCAAAACTAAAAATATATATATTATATAAGGTCATGTTGATTAAATTTTTCACGAGAAACGACGTATTTAATAATCCGGTTTAATGAAATTAAATGAAATCACTTTTTCATCAAAGACTTACTGTGTCATTTATGTTTTCTTTGGCTCACAGAGCACTTTGCATCCCTGTTTCTTGATATAATATTGTCTCCTGTTCCTGTTTTTAAACAAAATATTGTCTCCTGTCCCTGTTTCTAGATATAATATTGTCTGCTGTCCCTGTTTCTAGATATAATATTGCCTGCTGTCCCTGTTTCTAGATATAATATTGCCTGTTGTCCCTGTTGTTAGATATAAAATTGCCTGTTGTCCCTGTTTCTAGATATAATATTGCCTGCTGTCCCTGATTTATCTGCAAGCTTTTCTTCTTTTTCATTTCAGACCGTATACATTTCAGACCGTACACATTTCAGACCTTACACATTTCAGACCTTACTCATTTCAGACCGTACACATTTCAGACCTTACTCATTTCAGACCGTACACATTTCAGACCTTACACATTGACCGTACACATTTCAGACCGTATACATTTCAGACCTTACACATTTCAGACCGTACACATTTCAGACCTTACACATTGACCGTAAACATTGACCGTACACATTTCAGACCTTACACATTTCAGACTGTACACATTTCAGACCGTATACATTTCAGACCTTACACATTTCAGACTGTACACATTTCAGACCTTACACATTTCAGACTGTACACATTTCAGACCGTACACATTTCAGACCTTACACATTTCAGACGTTACACATTTCAGACTGCACACATTTCAGACCGTACACATTTTGAGCCGTTTTGACGTTTATCGCACACAAACAAACCAACAAACATACACCACGATTATGTAAAATTTCAAAATTATTAAAAGTTAATCATCAAAAACTGAAAGTTACAGTTTACTCAAAATAAGTTTTAAAAAGTAAACAGGCGGTTTTTACTATATTGTAGTTCCCTGAATTATTAAAATTATTGCTAAATCTAGAAATGTTTTATTCTCGTAGTAAAAAAATATTTTGTCTCAGTAAATTAAAGGAAGATTGAGTAATGAAAACCCTGGATAATCGATGTTTTGTTTAAAATATTTAAAAATAATTTTAAAAATTTAGTTTTGTTCGGATTTTAGGCATAAATATCAGCAAATAATATACATTTTTGAAGTCATAACAGTTCTAAAGTTATAATTTGATAACATTTACTGCAGATTTCCACTCTAAAAAATTTTACGAATTTTTTTTATATCTCATTCAATTTTAAATTTAGGAAAGCCATAGAATCTTTCATATAACTATTTATAACAGTGTTACTTTGGTTCGCAGAGTTATAAAGTTTTGGACAGAAATTTTCTCTTTATCGAAAAGGCGAGAACCTTCGAGATATAGAGAAATTTAATTCCAAAAACTTTAAAGCACGTCTTGCCAAAATAAAAGTGTTATAGGTAATTTTATGAAACGTTTATGTACTTGTCTTATTTCAGTAGCTATTTCTAGATCAAATAAGCTTTGAAAGAAAGCAGAAGTCAAAATATATAGTTGATTTTAGTTTTATTTTCATTTCACTTGACATTTTTTTTTGGAAATATCCTAAATTTTTTTAGAGAAAATCCGGGAACCAATTAAAACTTTATATATATAGCACTCGTGCATAATGTACAGCTAATTTAACTTTATCACGATGATTACTTTATAACACGTTCAATATGAAATTCACGATGAAGTGAATAAGAATGATAAAGTAAAATAAAAAATAAATAGTTTATTAGGCACATATATATACATATACAAGGGTTAATAACACATTGATGAATTCTATGATTATACAGTGCCGGGAAACCCGGAGAGCTTAATATCTGGCTGTCTGGTCCAGGTCCCTGAAAACTTTAGATTTATGCGGCGTATGATATACACAATATTTTCATGAAGGGATTGACAACGTAAGAGGAAGTGTACAATTTAAACCTTTATCTGATTAAAATTATAAAGATATCCCTGTTTTTCTCTCTGAAAATTATCCGTTTCTCGTTACGGTTAATCTTTTTACGTGAATTGCGGATTGACATAGCAAAGACAATAAGTAAATTGTTAGGATATCCTACTCTTGCTAAAATAAAGCCCTAAAAGGTACTGCTATCATTCTGACATCTCCCCTCTTCTAATAGAGACCCGTCACTTGAAATTACGTGAATCGTTCCTTAAATTTTCATTTTTTATGGAACCCCTGAAGAACTGCATTTAACTGACCTTGACAATGAATGTTGTGAGACAAAGATATGATTTTGCAAAAAATTTCAGAAAATTAATTGCATTGATGCAATGTTTAATGATTGCGATGCTCTAGAAGTAAACAATAATTAGGCCTGAGCCTGTACAGCCAATATACGAGGGCTTAACAATTTTTTTTTTTGATTTTATTACTAATTTAATGCTTATAAATTTTCTTTCTTTTTCGCTTATCCCCCCCCACCAAAGACTTTTAAAATCTCATTTTTAATTCTTGAAACTGAATAACAACAAAATCTCTCTTTTTAATCCCACATAACAATTTTACCC